TCTAGTCTTATTTGGAAATACATGTTCAAAGAAAGATGCATTTCTCGATTCTATAATAGTATTTACATGATTTCGGAATGTTATGATTTATGAATCAAAAACCGATATGCACTACTATTCTTGGCATAACCAATGAAAATGCAATCAATAGTCTTAGGACCTATCTTAGTTTTTTTAGGACTAGGAATAATCACTTTAGCCAAACACCTCCACACTTTTAAATATTTGTAGGATGGTACTCTCTCATGCCATAATTCATAAGGTGTTTGACTTACTTTCTTTCGGGATACTTTATTTAAAATATAATTGTTGGAACAATCTTCTGTGTAAATAAAATATAATTTACAGAAAGTATTGCTTCCCCCCACAATATTGTAGGAAAAATGGTGTTTTATATAGCTTATTTTAGGCCAACTTTGAGGCCAAAATTGAGTGGGCCCCAAACGTCTTTTGGGGTGGGTCTGAAGAGGTGACGTGTTCCTTGGCGCGTGACAAGTCACACGGTGAAGATGGGACGCCAAAACTATTTATGAGTGAATGGGAAGTTAACGTCGTTTTAGGGTCTAACATTAATTTTTTAGACAAAATTCATTTGAATTTTTTCAAAAAAATTATTGTGAGCATTTAATTTAAATTTAAATTCAAATTTTGGTTTCCTAAAGATTGTACATTTTCCTTTATTGATTAAACTATTCAAATAGTTTAATAATAATATTCCAAACAGTTTGAAAAACTGTTCCACTAACGACTTTATTGATTAAACTATTCAAATAGTTTAATAAAAAAATATATTTCAACAGTTTTAAACTTTGTCCACCAACGAATACTTTTTCAATAGTTTGAATAAAAGTGTTCAAAGTGCAACGGTCAGAATCGGTTTGAATTCAAAACAGGTTGCATCTGTTTACTTTTAGAACTGAATCTGTTGGACAGATTCACACCTGTTCGGACAGGGTTTTTTGGCTATAAATACAGCCAATTTCCAGTAGTCCGAATGATCCAAAAATCAGTCTGCATAATTCCTTTTGCTGTCCAATTATCATCTTTGGTGCATTATTCTCCATATTAATTTTAAAATAAATATTCAGAGAGTTAGAACACAGGTTTGGTTCGCCAAACAATTTGTTTTGGAGTGCTACTACAAATTGGTTAAGATCATTGTATCCTGGGAGATAGACGCCACTCAACCGTAAGCACCGTAGCGGGGCGAATCTGTTTTAAGGACAAAGTGTCATACACTCGACTTGGTCTTTGATTTTTTAAGTTCGGTTCGATAAAAAAATTCGGTACGTTTTTTGTTTATTTGTTTGATTTAGTTTCAATCTATTTTATTTACACAGAAGATTGTTCTAACAATCTTAAGACAGATTCGAATTATTCTGTTTACAGAACTTTTCGTTTGTTTCCCTTTCTCTTTTCTTCTTTTAAGAAAATTATTTTCTGTGAATTTACAAATTAATATTCTGGTTGGAAAAATAAATAGTGGTTATATGCTATTTGACAGATAGTAGTAATATACTGTCTATTTTCTTTGACAACTAGTAGTAATATACTGGTGTCATTAACAATTTAGAATATATATTTGTGAAATTTTGTCAGAAATTATTTTTGGTTTTTAGAAATTTATTTCTGAGTGTTCTTTAATTAAAAAATTATGTTTAGTTTTTTTTTTTTAATTATTGAAGTGAAACAGAAATTTAATTTTCTGTGTGGAATTAATTTGGTTAAATAAAATTTTATTTTATTTCCAAATTAATTGAAAAATAAAAGTTACATTCTTGTTTCTTTTATTTTTACAGAATTTCATTCTGTGAATTTGGATTAATTTTCTGTGTAGTATAAATTCTAGGGGTGAGCATGGTCCGGATTGGATCGGATTTGGGTAAAACCAAGACCAATCCATTATCTACGGTTCCTGAAAAATTGGAACCAATCCAATCCGGTTAAATCATGGAACCAATCCGAACTAATCCATTTAAATATGGATTGGATCGGTTTAGGACCACGGATTCATATAATTAAATAACAAAATATATATATATATATATATATAACACTCTAATTTCATAAAAATATAAACATAGCGCTATATTAGTTCCACAATAACAATATATTTTTCTATAATAGTGACATACTGTTTTAGAATTTAAACAACCATAAGAAAACTGGTTTCACCATAAGTATTTAAACCATTACAAATTAAAACTAAAAACTAACAAATAAAAGTAATAAAATAAGATATTATACGGTTTTAGGCTTGAGTTTAGATTTTATATAAAATAAGAGAAAATGCTATAGGGAATGATGTATAATAAAAATAGAGACTATTTGTATACGGTCCGGATCGGTTCCAATCCAGAACCGTGGGGTTCAATCCAGAACCAATCCGTGGACTACGAATTTTTAATTCTTCAATTCGGAACCAAATCGCGGATTTAAAAAATCAATCCAAACCTATCGGATTGGACTGGACTGGATCGGATTACGAATTTCACAGATTCCTTGCTCAGCCCTAATAAATTCTAATTATAATTTTGTTTATAATTTAGAATTCATGGCTACTGAAACAAATGCTCAAACAAGTACTACTGTGGTGGCTGCAATGACGCCAACCACCTCTCCTATGGTGACAGTACTGGTAAATCACGGTGAGAAGCCAGAGAAGTTCTCAGGAACTGATTTTAAAAGATGACAACAGAAAATGTTGTTCTATCTTGCAACTCTGAACCTGGCTCGTTTCCTCCGTGAGGATGCTCCTATTTTGAAAGAGGATGAAACCGACCGGCAAGTGGTTGCTGCAGTTGATGCCTGGAAACATGCCGATTTCTTTTGCCAGAATTACATCTTGAACGGACTTGACAACACATTATACAACGTCTATAGTCCTATCAAGACAGCAAAGGAACTTTGGGAGTCTTTGGAGAAAAAGTACAAAACGGAAGATGCCGGCTCAAAAAAATTTGTGGTTGGCAGATTCCTGAATTTTGTAATGGTTGATTCAAAAACTGTGATCAGCCAAGTTCAAGATTTCCAACTCATTCTGTATGACATTCACGCAAAAGGCATGTCTCTTAGTGAATCCTTCCAAGTTGCAGCCTTAATTGAAAAATTATCATAAGGTTGGAAGGAATTCAAGAACTACCTCAAACACAAGTGCAAAGAAATGTCTATGGAAGAATTAATTGTGCGTTCGAGGATTGAGGAGGACAACAACAATTCTGAGAAGCAGATTGGTAAGCATCCTATGGAGTCTAAGGCAAATGTGGTGGAACATGTTTCAAAAATCAAGAAACGAAAGTCTTTTGGAGAAAGTTCATCACAAGGCTCTAAAGGGGGGGAAAAATAAAAAGTACAAGTTTAATAGCAAATGTTACATCTGTGACAAAGAGGGACATCGGGTCAAAGATTGCCGCAGCAAAGGCAAAAACAAAAGAAGAACAAGCAAGAAGCTTGTTCAAGCCCACATGACTGAAGTGGACAATATTTCCAATGGTATAGATGATATCAATCTTTCTGCAGTTGTTTCCAAGGCAAATCTTGTCGGAAATCCTAAAGAATGGTGGGTGGACACAGGTACTACTCGCCATATCTGTGCCGACAAAAAGATGTTCACATCTTATTTTACAATGGACAATATTGAACAACTTTTTATGGACAACTCCTCAACTTCCAAAGTTGAAGGACAAGGGAAGATTGTTCTCAAGATGACATCTGGAAAGGAACTCACTCTCAACAATGTGCTGCATGTACCGGACATTCGCAAGAATCTTATTTCTGGATCTTTATTGAGTAAGAATGGGTTTAGGCTAGTTTTTTAGAGTGATAAATTTGTATTTACTAAGAATGGGATGTATGTAAGAAAATGTTACATGTCTGATGACCTTTTCAAATTAAATGTAATGACCATTGTATCCTCAGTTATTAATAAAAATACATCTTCTTCTTCTTTGCTTGAGTCTTCAAATTTATGGTATGGTAGACTAAGGCATGTTAATTATGGATCTTTGCGCAAATTAATTAATATGAAATATTTACCTAAATTTGACATTGATTCAAACCATAAATGTAAAATTTGCGTTGAGGCAAAATTATCCAAAACTCCTTTTCATTCAATTGAAAGAAGTTCGGAACTACTTGAATTAATTCATAATGACATTTGTGATTTTAAGTCAATTCAAACAAGAGGTGAGAAAAAGTATTTTATCACTTTTATAGATGACTATGCTAGATATAGTTATATTTATTTAATTCGAACCAAGGATGAAGTTTTGAAAACTTTCATTCAATATAAGAATGAAGTTGAAAATCAACTTGGTAAGAAAATCAAGAAACTTAGAAGTAATAAAGGTGGTGAATTTGAAAAACCTTTTGGTGAATTTTGTAAATAACATGGAATAATTCATCAAACCACTGCTCCTTACTCACCTCAGCAAAATGGAATTGCTGAAAGGAAAAATAAGACTTTAAAAGAAATGATGAATGCCATGTTAATAAGTTCTGGATTACCTCAGAATTTGTGGGGAGAAGCAATACTTTCTGCAAATTATATTTTATTTACACAGAAGATTGTTCCAACAGGATCATATGATACAGTCACCCGTGTGCTTAAGCAAAAGGTTCTGCACAAAATTGCGTACTGACTTAATCTTACCCCAGAAAACCTCCCACGCTTGGTTATTATAAAGCTTCCTATCTTAAAGTGTTCCATTAATCTTGCTTCAAACCCTTCTGTTCTCATTGAAATGTAGTCTTTTACATGTTTCGTCAATCACATTTTGGAACTGTGTAACACCTTCGCACCCACTCCGCCCAGCCAGGTATTTTTTCAGGCAGGACTCAAATCCAAAACCTAGGGTTGCAGCCTCATAGCACATACTACTGCTGTTAAGTGTCCAAACATTTGGGTTCATTGAGGCTGACATATTGCCTATTGGTGTCTAATACAAGCACACGGGTGAAACAGAAAGCATGGGAGAAGGAAAGAACTCAACTTTCATACATGCAGACAATTGTACCTTTATATAAAAAAAAACTGCTGAACATGTGCATCCAGCAGATGAATATAATCAATCATAACATGAAAACTGATGCTGTCCAAAGAAACAATTATAGTGGCTAGTTCGGCGATCCAGTCAACGCATATATAAAGAGAAACAGACTAATGTAAAACTCACATGATGCTGCTGCTCTTTCTCCATGCCCATGGAACCCAACAGGAATACCATTCTTGTCTTATTCTTCCATCAAAGATGCACTTCAATTAGAAGTAGGTGAGGTAGAAACAGAAATACGCTTAAGGAATGCAGCGCTGATAGAGGGGCAACGCTCCCAACGCTTCACGTTCAGCATTCTCTCTCTTCACCTGCAAAGTACAAGATATATTAAAACATTGTTCATGAGAATGTCCACTACACACAAAGGCAAACACCAAGAGCCAATAGTCTGGTTTAGAAAATAGAACCCCAAACAAAACAGACTGCCAAAATACAAATCATAAGAGTACCACCTTACTGGGTTAAATAAGCAACAGAAACCAACAGAAGAGGGAAAACCAATGCTTCCTAATTCACATCTTTGTTGAAAAATTTACTTTTGTGATTTGCTAGGCATATTGAATTGAATATAAATGATGCAATAATTTCTTCTAAATTACTTGCAAAGAATATGCTAAGAAGCATGGACATGCCCAAACAAATATCGGACATGTGCAAAACATGTCCAAATGTTTTCCAAATTGTTTTAGAGCAGGACACAGTCTCTTTATGAGGGTAAAACTGTGTACATCTTACCCTCTCTAGACCCATTTTAGCAGGAGCCTCATGCACCAGGTCGCCTTTTTTTTTTTAGAGTTGAAACACTCTTTGGATTCTTGGAGAACATGTGTCTAATCACTTAAACACACAAAACACAGTAAATATATAGATAGCCAATTGTAAAAATTAAAACAAAACATAATTAACGTGGCATGAATTAAAACTGGAAAATTGGCGTGGCACCAAAAGGCTCTCTTTTTTCATATTAGAAACAAGCAAAGACAGTGAAGAATGACATTAAAGCAATCAAAACACCAATCATGCAAGACTTCCCACAAAAATTCGTATTAAAATAAAATGTTTATTTCGATTTGCTATCTTATGAGCAGTGATATAATAAAGGAATAACAACTACAACAAAAAATTGTGGTAATTTTCCATAATAAAATCATTAAACCTAAGATAAGTAATAAAATCAGAATAAGAAATAATAGATAAAGTCAACAATACTATCATACATTAAAAGGATGAAAACTAGTTATACATAAGAAATTGAAAGCAATATAGCAAAAGTACACGTAGTACACATATAACTTAAATATTTAAGCACTTACAAGGGCCAACATATCTTGAAGATAACTCCTAAATGGCGTCTGCATTTCCTGTGAGAAAGTAAAGTGAAAACATGAGTTGGGAACTAAAAAAATTAATATGCTTCAACACCAAAACTCATCTATTCTTAGAAATCATCATCAAGCATATGAACAACCAGCAGTTTGACAAATGTTTTTACTTTTTACAATCAATTTGTAGGACAAAGTTCAAGGTGATACATCCTCATAAAAGAGTTCAAATAATTACAGAAAAAATCTCATTTCATGAAAAACAAGCCCAATTTGAGATGAACATCACACACATGCGCGCGCGCGCACACACACACACACACACACTAGAAGGATTGATGTTTGGAATTACAAGTGTGGGTGAGAGAGGTTAGAGGCGATTGGTCGTTGACCTCTGGAAAGATGGCAGGCATTTCAATGGCCTAAGATCACCAGAGGTGGAAGAGGAGAAGACCAAGGCAGGCTTAGAGAGGAAAGTGGTGGCAATGAGAGACTTTGAACACTTTGTATATGTTGTATGAATCTTGTTGTTCTTGTTATGATTGTGGCTGCATTTATGATGCCGTTATATAGACTCCAAGAGTATTCGAGCCCAAGCAACTTTAAGACGGGTGGCAAGTTCTCATCGACTCGACAGGAGAGTGATATCAACCCCACTAGCTGTGCCCTATGATTCAGGTCCTTGGTAAGCCTACATCATAGGAGCTACAAGTGTAAGTATGATATCTTGAGAGGCGTATCATATATGCAAGAGTTGTAAGGTCTATGTCCCCTTTCTCTAAGCCAGGTCAAGGTTGAACTGTCACTGCAGAGACAGTTACATGACCCTGACGATCCCGAGGTCTTAGCCTTCAATTCACAATCCTCCAATGATCCCAAGCAGGAGTGCCTAGGTCCTGCTCCCAACCTAGGCAGCTCAGGGGGTGAGTGCATGGGTGAGCCAAGGGCTCATTCTGAGCAGCTAAGTAAACATAGAAGAGCCAAACATAGGTGAGCCAAGAGTTCAACTATTTTGCTATGGAGCTGGGGTGAGCGGGTAGAGAATATATTTCTTGAGTTATGAAGGGCCATGGAGAGCTCTAGGTAAGCCAGCTCTATCAAAGTGAGCTGTGGCCCTGTTTTCATACTTGGTGGTGTGCATGCCCCCGCTTATGCTAGGCATACGACCCCAACTCATTGTGGTGCCTAGGGGTCTGCTACGTAGATGTGTGATGGTACTCATCATGGTGCCTCAGGGGTCTGTCACGTGTATGTATGATGGTGATGACGTGACACCCGTAGGGCTCGCCACATGCAAAGCATAATATAGATACCCACATCTTCCAATTCCCATTTCTTTCTGTCCCCTTTATTTCCATGCTTTTCATATCCGTTGATAGCATCATGTTTTCTTTATTATAATCCTTATTCTTCCATCCATGTTTCATGCATTTGGATTCGACTCATTTACATTTATGGACTCTATCATTTCCTATGTGATTTTGTGTGCTACCTCATGCTTTGAGATGACTCACATGTTATACATTAGTAGCCAAATATATAGTTGCATTCTCGTGTATGTATCGCATTAGTATTTTGCATGTAGGACCATGCATATTTTGCTTACTCTTTTCTTCATCTTTTTGTTGGATGCAAGTAAATACTAGGTGAACATTTATAGTTTTAGCATCCTGCTTGTACATGATTTTCTTATTATGTTTAGCATTTTACCATGCGTCTAATTGCTTAAGTGATTTATCTCTATGATTGTCGGTGGATGGAGGTTGTGTCGTTTAAATTGGAATGATATTGATTTTTATGCACGTGAGCTCATTTTCCCTCGAGCTGTACATTTTTCAAAACTCTTTTAAAATGTATGAAATCAAAACGTTCCGAGTTGAATGGTAGTCTATGCCTGATTGCTTCAAATAATAAATTTTAGCATTAATAATAATCGGAATATGAGCCATATATTGTTTATAAAACTCATATTATGGTTTAGTAGAGACCGATCCTTTGATTGGGTGAGTAGAGTGCTCAATTCATGACCTTCTCCCCTCATACCTAAGGTCCCGAACTGAGACATCTTTGGTTGTGAGGGACAGTGGCCTTTGGCATGAGTCATGGGTTTCCTAGTTTTTCCAAAAGATTAGGTGGCGACTCTGTGATCTGGTGCAACCCATTTCTAGCACATTTTGTGATTAATGGATTTTCTATAGATTTGCCGGATATGGACTCTCATTTATGTTTCTCATTGCACTCGTAAGACTAGATCGAAATCGGGAGTTCAAACTGTTGGGCGCGCTCGGTTACCCCTAGGACATTCTATACAGAGTAATAGGCTTGGGCAAGTCATCATCCTTAATCAACGAAGTGCAGCACGTCATCCTTAACTGTTGACAAATAACTAGAGAATAACAGTACCAAAGAAGAACTTGAATAGGACAACAAAATCAAAGCACAACCAAGAACTACTATGATGCCCACCAATCAGCTGCGATAATCCACTAGTTAAAAATAACTGTTACCAAGTATTGAGTTTTACTAAAAGTTTTACTAAAAATAAACTCTATGAATCTATAATATATTACTTGGTGCTCTTGTATTTCTTTGCCTAATCGCAACAGACTTGCCAAAATGACTCTCAGCCTTCATATAAATACTCATCTCATTAGTGATCAAATCTTGAACAGTGACATGCGGGACCAACCTTTGCATGCATTCATAAAACCTGCTGGAAATTTGTGTTAATGCATATAATAAGATAGTGGCATATGATAGTGGTGTTGGTGGTAGATAGTGGCATGTATAGAATAGTAAACCCATTCATCACTTCATGATCTTTTTGCACCTCTAACGCTTTTGGGTAAAAGAATTCTGGGTTAAGAAAATGCGCAGCTGCATGTAAAGGCTGATACAATTGGACATCTCATCTTTTGTCGATGATTTTGAAGATTTCATTATACTTCTCTTCTTTATGATCAAATGAACTTGCAATGCATTCTTTTGCCCCATCCATTGCCTCATAAATGTATCCCATGGGAGGTTTCTTCTCGGTATCAACCAATCTAAGCACTTTGACAAGAGGACCTGAGACCTTAAGGGCAAACACAACAGTATTCCAAAATGAAGGCATCAACAAAGTTTGTGCCTCTTTTACCTTGTGGCTCCTTTGCCCATTTGCTTGAGGTCCAGTTTTCGGAGGTGACCATTTTTCTCAAATTATTTTTTTGTTGATGCATCCTGGACAAAGTCAAAAAGGCAGTTGCAAATCTAGTTTTTGTAGGCTTGATCAAATTCTTTAAATTTGTATAGCGCCTCATCATGTTTAGCAACGTAGGCCGATTGTAAATGTAGCCATGTACTGCAATACCCCTTTCAAATGTCTTTTTCAGTCTAGGTATCTTGAAAATGTCTTCTAACATCAAGTCCAAACAATGAGCAGCACATGGTGTCCAATACAACTGTTCATACTTAGCTTCCAAAAACCTCCCTATAATGTAACAATAATGAAGAATTATTATTTTCAAGTTTTTAAATTTTAAATACAAAACAAACTATGAGTAAACAATTTTGTGCAAATCTAGTTTTTGCAGGCTTGATTAAATTCTTCAAATTTGTATAGCGCCTCATCATGTTTAGCAACGTAAGCCGATTGTAAATGTAGCCATGTACTGCAATACCCCTTTCAAATGTCTTTTTCAGTCTATGTATCTTGAAAATGTCTTCTAATATCAAGTCCAAACAATGAACAGTACATAGTGTCCAATACAAGTGTTCATACTTAGCTTCCAAAAACCTCCTTATAATGTAACAATAACAAAGAATTATTATTTTCAAGTTTTTAAATTTTAAATACAAAACAAACTATGAGTAAACAATTTTGATGTAAAGAAAGAGGAAATATTCTTGCTCGCCAACACATTAGCTGCAGCACTATTAGTGATAACTTGCACCACATTCTCTTTTCCAACTTTCTCCACAAACTTGTTTAGTAATTCAAATAGCTTTTGCCCATCCTTTGAATAGCTAGAAGCATCAACCGACTCATGGTTCCTCTTGGACAATTAACTAAAAAGTTAATCAATGTCCTTCCTCTCTTATCAGTCCAACCATCAGCCATTATGGAACACCCGTATTTTGCACAATCCTCTTTATGATTCTTCATCAAATCTTCAGTATGTTTCACTTCTTTTTTGAGTTGGGTAATCCGCACTTCATGGTAAGTCGGTGGCTTCATACCAGGACCATATTGGCCAATGGCTTCAATCATTGGTCCAAAACTCTCATAATTTACTGCATTAAAAGGGATACCAACATCATACATCCACCTTACAAATCTTTGCACTGCCCGAGCTCTCATTTCTTTTTTGTAAGGGTCATTTGCATCAATTTTGGTTTGTTTTCCTTTTGCTTGGTCTCTTCGATTTTTCACCACTGATTCAAGATTGGGTGTGAAGTAAACATCCATAAGCCCTTTTCTCTTTGGCATTTTTGATTTAGATTTGGATTTGGATGAACCTTGGCTACTACTTGTCAACTTACGGTGTTGATTGACATTGATCTTAACGACATCATCATCTTCATCTTCATCTTCCCTGTCCATGTATCAAAATCAGGCAACATGTTCATTTCTTCTGTTTATGTCTTTTTTTTTACATGAACTCTTTAATCTCTTCTCTTACATGAGAAGGACACTTCGGGCAAGCAGTGAAATTCCTATAACCTCCCGCGAGGTGTTGTTTCACCCGATAAACACCTCCATTTGATACTTTACCACAAAAATTACACTCGAACTTGTTTAAATTATTCTCCTCTACCAAATGGGCATATTGCCACGTCGGATCTTTTCTATTACTTTCCAATGTCATTTTCTACACAACAAATTTAATAAAGGAAAAATAATTATATTAAAAGAATAAATGGAAAACAAATTTAATCCCTAACAGATAAAGGAAAAAAAAAGAGACCAATACCACATTGTATTAATTAATTATTTGTGAATAATTAATTATTTGTAATTTTTTTTCCCTAACAGATAAAGGGAAAAAAAATATCAA